TGTAAGTTCCGCATACTTCTGATTGGTTCATCTTTCGATCAAATTTTTCAACTATTGGTAGATTTAATTTCACATCAAATAAACGGATGTCTTTACACTCTGTACAAATCTAGATTTAATTCTAATGTTATTTCATCGAATGGCGAAAACTTCAACAAATTTGATCGCGCTGTTCATCACAATTGAAATGTGAAGCAGCCGAACAATTGCCAAGGTTTGCAAAGCGAAGGGTATTGCGCAAAAGGTCATTATTAATTTTCCAATCAGAAACTGGCTTCCACACAAAATATTCGTTCAGGATTTCTGGAAAGAGTTCGTGAAGTACCGAAACTCAAAAGATGAACCTAATTTAGAAACAACAATTCACTGTTTTATTGATGCTTATGAGTTTGTAAAATATGATCATGTCAATTTATCAAAGTAAAATTAAAAATCATTTGATAATCTATCTATTGTTCTTAAATGTTTAGGAACTTACCAAAAATTTTAGGGAAAAAGGAAAAAAATGTCTCAATTTTTTAACGAATTTGCAAAAAATTTTTTTGAACAGGATGTAATCTTTTTTCTTGACTTTCAAGAAATTGCGAAAAACCGTCTCAATTTTTTTAACCAGTTGCAATAAATGATTCAGCTTTGGTTCTTCCGACAAATGCAAAAAGTTTTTAAGCTTTTTTGACAAGATGCGAAAAGTGGTTGTTTTTTCGACAAAATGCGAAAACTGTTTCAATTTGTTTGACATGATGCGGAAGGTTTTTCTTTTTTTTTGACAACGTGCAAAAAGCGTTCCAATTTTTTTGACAAAAACTCAAAAAGTTTCCACTCCTTATGACAAAAGAGAAAATTTTTTCAATTAAATTGTCAAGATGAGAGAAAGGTTCATTTTTTAAGTTGATGCTAGCGTTTCATTTCTTTCTACAAAATGCGAAAACTGTTTCCGTTTTTTGACAAGATGTTCAAGGTGTTTCAATTTTGTTGACAAAATGCAAAAGCCATCAAGTCTTTTTCTAAAGTTTTTTCTAATATGTGAGCTAATATGTGTGCAGGCATGCCCTCGAATTCTAGGCCATCATCAACAGTCTGCTCGTATTGCGAAAAAGATTTTTCGAAAAATTACTCTCTCCAACAACATCGAGGAAAACAACATAAAGTGAAACAATAGAAGTCAAGCGATACTCTAGCGGACTTGAACAAGCTTATGGAGGAGGAAGGAAACATTAGGAGAATTTCATTGAGGAGTTGAGAGCTTGTCAACACTACCGTGTTCACTTCCTCTTGGACACGGAGATGAAGAATGAAAGGCATAAGGTATTTAACTTTAAAATGTCAATGTTAGTTACCAAAATTATCAACGAGACGCTCGAAATAAATTTCACTAAACTTGTTTCAGCTGCAAAAATCAGTTTTGCTGGTGAGTATCGATACTATCATCCGTACGAAAAAAATAATTTATTTTAGAAGTCGCCTTTACTGTCTACTAAAGCCGACTTGATAGCCATCCAACGAAAATTAGAAAGCTTGTTATTGTGGAGCAATGCACTCAAGAACGTCTGTTCACGAAGTGGAGATTCAAATTGATAACAAATGTCACTGTTTTCGCCGGATTACCTTGAAACATCCAATAAGATGCCCAGACTCTGTCCTACCCGAATATTTACTACGACATACGCAAGTGAACTTTCTTTTATCGGATCAAGACAAGCAACCAAACAAAGAGCACCTGTAATTATTCCGTGCGCCAACAATGTATATACACGTTTATGGTAACATAGGTGCTCAGACATCCCAATTATTTAGAGAGTTTATATCATAATCTGGCTATGATCCCAAAAATTTCAGTGGGGTAGGTAGCTATTGATGATTTAACTATTGTAGAATATTGTTAATCGCAACAAATTACTTTGCAGTTTCGACATTTAAGGAGGAGAATATATTGGCGAATTAGATAGGCGAGTTTTTGGAAAAATCGACATTGTAGTCGAATTGCTAAATATCAAAAACCATATCAATCATACGAACGAAATTGATTCTTTCTTCAAGTGCTTTCGACGTTCCAGCTGTGACTGTTTCTTCAGCAGATCAGTTAACTTCAACAGTAATCTTCGAATTTGTGAAGATGGAGATGATAGATTTATCCGAAAAACGCGTACACACTATGGGGAAAATATTGTAAAAACTGGACGGATTCAACTTTCTTCAAACTGAAGATCAAAATTTATTTAACTAAGTTGCAGGTTCAAAACAATTTGGGTTCACACAAGAAAAATGAAAGCGAAAGCAAATAAGTAATTACTTGGATTGGAAAACAGGTCCCTATTTCAGTCTCAATATCTTCACATCTACAAGATGAACCAATTGCCCTGTGTGTAAAATATCCAAAACTCATAATAATTGCTTTTCTTTCCAGCTTGGAACTTCTAGTTGAAAAAGCAAGCTACAAATGAAAACCAAGATTCAAGAAATCGAAAACACAAACGAACGAGTTAAAAAGATCTTCGATAAACTCAATGCTATGAAGTTGAATGTGCTGAGGATTGCGATGAAAATGACAACAAAGTTTAGAGCGCTATTTGAACACTCTGCTGCTTTTCGGATGCAATAGTTGGAGATACGATCTGAAACTTTTCAAGTCCTGATTGATTTCATACGCTATTTGTGATAAAGAAAATAAGCCAACAGTTAAAAAAAGTGAATGATTTTCTATCGTTCAGATATGGAGACGTACGTTTTTTTGATTTTATGAAAATCTGAGAGGAGCAAAAACTCCGGATTCATTTGTAAAAGCCTAAGAGGCAAATGAAGCGAAAGAATTTTCCCCCAGCGAATGGTTTGACAGTCCAGACAAGCGTGACACCATATGAAGCTTTTTCCAGTTAACTGAAAACCAACAAGAAGCTGTTTATTCAGTCATTTCCGCCAACAGGATTCGAAAGTAACTCTTATTTGCAAAGCAAATGGGAACTTAACATAATGATTTTTTCAGAGAATTCTTGCGATGGTATAACAACGATCCTACTCTTGAAGCCATGCAACAAATGATGGAGTTGTAACAAAAAACAGGCATTAAATGTTGAAACTAAAAAATTTGTTTACAAAAGTCAACAATCACAATTTCTATCCGTTCTCTTGCTCAGTTGCTCCTGTCAATTTTTGGTAGAAAAAGATATTGAATAGATCATTTGAAAAATAGAAATTGATGAGTTGAAACGAGCTTATATAAAAGAAACAGGCTACAGTTTTCAAAAAAATGTTGGAATGTGACAAGGAAAGACAAATTGGAAAGACAATTTTTTCCTTCAAAAGACCTCTTTCTACTGATTCCTTACTTTAAATTCTACTGATTTCTTACTTTAAGAAAGGTAGTATCATTACTCCCCTTCTGAACTTTCATCTTGAGTACACGTCTGAAAAAGGATTCAACAACTTTTTTCAGTCTGCTATTGTTGCTCGACGAGAAGGAGACGAGAATCCACTGTCTGGATTTGTTGCTGAGACGATGAAGCTTCTGGGTAACAGCTCGTACGTTTATCAACTCCTGGACAGAGCCAGACCCATAACAACCAAGAACCTCCAGGATGAGAAGAAAAACAAAGCTATACTGAAATGCGATGATAATGGAGGAGATACATTCAAATTCAATAGCAAAGGGCTCAACAAAAGAACTCTCGTCGGTACTAGAGATGGCCTTATGTCCAATTACATACGGATTTCTGATGAAGCTATAATTATGAGTTCGACAAATCGGGAGTTCACAACCAACAACCACTTAGTTGGGACATAAGAAAATTGACTCTGTTACTTCTACCCGAAAAGGGAATTACTTAATGATGAAATTCAAACTAAGCCGTTGAGCTTGTAATTTTGACTTGTATATTGTAGTAAAACTTGATACAATGCAGTGATTTATTATTTTTTAAATTTTTTAACTGCAATTTAACAGTTAACAGTAATTTGATTTTTTTTTCAGGAAAACTTTTTTCTTTGGAGATCTAGTTAGGTTTTACGCATAGTGTCAGACCAATTTAACTGAAATTCAAAAAATTAGAACAAAAGTAAAAATTTATCTGATAGTTTAAACTCGTATACATTGATTTAAAGGATCTTAAAACATGGTAAGACCGGGCGCCAGTTCTTTCGGAAATTTACCACCTTATCATCTCAAACCTTGTATCCTAATAGATAGCAAAACTTATCCTAATCGAAAATCTGCTTTCAAGAATACAAGTAAATAAATTATCAAGAAGAAAGTAACTCAAAGTTTTAAAGAAAATGCAATTTAGAGGGAAGGAGTTTGCTATTTGCTAAACAAAGGTACTTGTTGCCCTGGTGTTCTAAATTGTCTCACTTAGAACACCAGGGCAACAAAAATGATAATAAAATTTTATAAAGAACTGTGTTTACAACAGTTCAACGGAGGATGTGAAATTTGTCAGAAATCTCATGAAATCTGGTTAAGAAAGAACTAGATTTTAGTTTTGTGTTTTTCTTATAAAACTTAAGAATCTGTGACAAAAATTTAGGGTAGATTCTAATCCTTGCTAGACCCAAAATATCGGAGTCCATCAAAAAGGATATTCGTTGAACGATACCACCAACAAAACTTGGAATCAATAAATGGTTCAAAAGCCACGCATGGTCAGCTTATACCCAGCAAAAAAAAAAGATTTCAAGGGCACCCGGTCGACTGATTTCTGACACGTGTAGTCTTGAGTCGTGAAGTGGATTTTGTACCACTGCTAAGTTATTACGAAGAAGATTGTTTCTTGTTGACACAGAATGTGAACAAACATACCGACAAAATTGTCGAAAATGTATGCAGTGTTTCCGAACAACCCGCGAGTTTCGTATTAAAAAAGCGTCAATTTTTGTACAACAAAGTTATTTCAGTTTGGTTATAATCATAGGCTGTTATATAATTATAGCTACTTCATCCACTTTAAATGGACCGAGTCATAATGTGAGACTAGTGGGCCACATGTAATAAAAAGTGTTTTTTTTTTCAGCCGAGTGGAAGCAGAAAGCGTACTCAAAAATGGTTGATTGTGGCAAGAGAGGATTGGACTGGAGGTATACGAAGGATGAGGTGATAAATATGCTGAGCAGTTCCTACCCACTGTACTTTTGGTTTGTCTGTATTGCAACCGAAGACCTCAACTACAGCTTTAAATTCAGACTAGGTGGATTTGGAGAAATGGCCGAGTGGAAGAATGACCCAGAGTGCACATATAACATGAGTGTGTATAGAGTGGCCAAATCCAAACTAGAAGACAGAGGAGGAAGATGTACGCATGAAGATGAAGAGAAGGCTGTGAAGATAGTTGAAGATGTACTTAAGAGTGACATGTGTGGAGCTAATAGCAACTACAGTGTAGATAGAGTGGCTGAGGAGGTGGAGTCTCGTTTGAACAGAGATTCACTCCACTGGTTAACCATCCAAGTGTGGGAATGGGAAACTGGTTATCATTGGTCTAATTGGTCTGATCAGAGAAATGTTAGCTATGTCACTGAATGGGATGATAAATATTCCATTGATGTCTTCCTCTCCAACTGACTGTCCACCATACATGTCCTCACTCTCCCTCTCCATCTCCACCTGCCATCATAAAATCCACATTCACGCACTATTCTTATTTTCCTCCACGCTCGATTCTCTCGCCATATAATTTTACTTTCCACCTCCTTTAAACAGCTAGTGGTGAAGTGTGTTCACAGAAATTATAACATCTTCAGTGCACTAAATTCATTATTCTAGCAGCTTTTAAAACTGTACCATTGAAATTATAGTCAAATTGTGAAATGACCAACGTATCAATGCCTTACCTTCTTTTAGCTGTTATACATCGCGACACTTGATTTACCTTCTCATAATTGGAGTTGTGATTTCTTACAGTGTTCAAAAGAATAGCAGATCAGATATGCGAATGAATCAACTCTTATAATTTGTAAATTTCAATAATTTCATATAAATAAAATTGTTCACGTAAATCATAAAATGAGAAGTGTACTCTTTTCTCATGTTCTTTCGAGAGAATTTTCACGTTTTGTCTCATCAAAAGCCAGTATTTATCAATCAGTAATCTAATTAGATAATAAAACTACTTAAGTACTAGCTAAACAGCAGGATTTTTAGCCTTTGAATTGAAAAAAAGTGTGGCTCGAAATGCAAACTGTTATTCTAGTTACAAGCTTGCTCATTGATTTTTTCAAATTAAATTACTGTGGAGCGTCGCCCACAAGACATGATGTACCAGTTGACATGTCATTTTACCTGTACAAAACAATTTGTAAATATTAGAATTCTTTGAATATAAATGATGTAAATTATAGTAAACGTTTGATATTATTGTTAAGTTTTTTAGATTGTTTAGATGAGCTCTTACATGTTGCTATATTGCATATATGCTGCTAATATAGCACTAAGAAAGGAAAAGGATGTTTTTTAGAAACCATTTCAAGTAAAAAAATTATTCAAACTTTGTCTCAAAAACTTTGGGATTACTTGAATAGAACATTTTTATGAGAAAACCTAACAGAACCTTCGAACGAAACAAGCTCTCAAACCGTGGAAAATATAATAAGGATGGTCTAGAATTTTCGGGGGCGTTGGCAGGAAGGGCCGATCAGAGCAACTCCTTCAGTGGAGAAGAAAAGATCCAGGACATCCTTATCAAAACTTGAGAAACTACAATATCCAATGAAAGTTTTTATTAGAAACTCTTGCCCCAATGAAGGTCTCAAACTGGTATTACTAGATTAGAAGGGAATCGTATATCATTGATTCGTAAAAAAACGAATCGAAAAAACGAAAAAGAGAATCGTAAAAAAAAAAACAAATTGAGTTTCCAAAAATTGACTTCGACTATCCAGAGAAATATTGACTTATAGAAACAACGATTGTTGAATGTTTAAATAAAGATTTCATGAGTGAAATACAGAGGCAACTTACAGTATGCTCCAAAAACACGCAACTCTAATTTTTACTTTTGAAGATTACTCTACAAAACAATTAAAGCAAAATTTCAAAATGTGAATATTGTCGATTGAGATGAAAGTGAAAAAATATTGGAATACGTTAGTGTGGCACCTCCTAGTGGTGATACCTTATTTTGGAACGTCCTAGCGTGGTGTAGTCCTTTGCGGTTTGTCCGCAGTAACTGGATCGACCCCGAAGTAACCTGGAATTTGGTGTGAGCTTTTGGGCTATCGGGCGGGTATTTGTGCTTCCTATTGCCTGCGCGATGTATTGGATCACATTCTTCCAGTATGTCATCGACAGTTCATCAAATGAGACTTTTTCTGGCGATTTCACACGACACATTGTCCATTGCTCAAAGACGTATGTTCGAACCTTGGAGAGCCTTGCTTCAGAAAACGTAAGCCTTGGGGGCATTTTTGCATTGCGATTGCCATGTTTGGAAAAGGCCTCGAACACCACCAGATTAGTGCCCCTAGTAGTCTCTCAGACCTTCGGATAACGACGACTATTGGCACAGTTTTCGGTGTTAGTGGAGACAAGGAGTGTGTAACTGTGTTCTACAGAATCCCCTGATGATTGTGAAAGCAATTTGTTGAAAATGGGATTTCCCGAAGTTCTCATGAGTGGTAACCTCTACACGGCTTTCAGCACTGTGGATTCTATGATGTAATATTAGGAAGGATTCTTACCCGTTGATTTTAAAAAGCTAGCCTTAAAGAATAGTGCTTTTTGGTGAAACTAACTCTCAATGATTGCTATTTATGGCAATGAGAAAACTGAAGACGTCATTCTCCTTGCAAGCAATCTGTGAAAAAAACTGCAGATATTTCAAAAAAATGTTTATGATTGATCCGCGCAGGGTCAGCAGCTGGTTAAATAAATAATTACGCTTTCGCAATTTTGAACGTCTTTACTAACTATCTTTAGCTCCGTAGGAAAAAAATTGAAGAGCATGACGAGACCAAACTATGCACTCTGTACATTGTAAGTGAAATCCACAACGGGTCGAAAACAGAACTTTCGCGGATTCCACAGCATTGCTACCTTATTCGATCTTCTATGCTGTTTTGGATTCCAAAAATAAATACCAAAAGCATTGTTCCGCTCAAAATCGCTCTGAAAATAGTCGAAATCTTGGAATCCGCAACTGTATTTGCGGAAATCAGAACCTTTTATGAAATCCCCAAACAAATGATAGGACATTTGTATAGTTAAACTGAGCGGTTGCTGAATCCGCAACTGCAAGTGGAATCCGCAAATGTAAGTGGAATCCGCAAACTGTAAGTGGAATCTGCAAATTGTAAGTGGAATCCGCATTTTCTTTTCGGCTTCAAATTACATTTTTGTTTATATGTAGTAAAGTTTTAATTTGTATCTTTTTTTTCTAGGCTTTCACCAGCAAGTTCAATCTCAGCTACGTTGATCAGCTACCAGTCTCAATTCCTGTCACCAACTTCGATCTCAATTCCTGTAGCTCAACATCGATCCCAATTCCTGTAACCCAACTTCAATCGCAATTCCTGTCACCGACTTCGATCCCAATTCCTGTAACCCAACTTCGATCCCAATTGCTGTAACCCAATTTCGATCCCATTTCCTGCAACCCAACTTCGATCCCGATTCCTGCGACCCAACTTCGATCCCAATTCCTGCTATCAATCTTAATTCCTGCAAAAGTGAACAAACTGAACAGACTTATGAAGTGAACTCGTTTCTAAATGCATCAGTTCATTTCAATCAAATAATTCAATTAATTAACTCATTTAAAATAAATTACTTTAGTTTAACTTTTTTCGAGTGTTTTCAAATTGCGAACATATAGTTTGATAAGGCAAAATTTTTGGGAACAGTTTTAATCTTGCAATTATCATTTATTTCAGCTGTACTTGTTTAAGTTCTGTAATTTTTGATCTAAAACGAATTAGATCACTTAATAGATAATTTATTTCCTATGAGAAATTGTACACCAAATAGATAGTTCACTCTGTTTGAGCAACATTGACGGGCCGGCATACTTTTCGGACCATGACGCATACCGCATACAGTAAAAAGAAAACGACAAATTACGGTTAATTCAGAGAGCTCAAATAGCAACAAACAGTCATAACAAAACAGTCATAACAACATGCAAAAAATTTCTAAGTTGTTCAATTCATTTCATAAAAATGTCCTGGGCGGACTCGGCCATTTTATGTCTAAAAACTTCTCGGTAGTTATCCTCGACGGCATATATACCACGCAAGAACTTATATGGCATCGGGTTGTGCTCATGAGGAAATCTCTGGGTTCGTTGATTTTGATAGATTTGATCGGAGTATTCAGCTCACGTTCGTTTTTGGCTGGAAACAAATCGCATTTTCCGCCAAACACAGAACCCTTGATTGATGGCATCCAAACAATCCCTAGGTTTATCAACACTGTGCGGATGATAAACTAATGACTTTTCTAGTTACTGGTGTAGCTGGAACCAATATGAATGTTTGCCCTGTTTTTCCTCATCAAGCATATGCGTCTTTTTATTGCCGAAAAAGTCGCCAAAATTAGGCTATTTGGGTGAGTGATATCACTCATATTGCAGGTAAAGATGTTCTAAAACGAAGCACAAGAGAACAAACGAAAAAAAATAGTATTTGATTTTGAAAAAAAAAAACAAAATTGAAATAAACAGCTACTTACCAAAAAACTTTCTTCAACAAGCTCCGCCAAAACAGAAGGCAATCTCACGGTGACATCAGCTTTTTTCGAGCAATTGTTTCTTCGAGCAATCGAATTTAAATTAATCAACGCGGAACTTTTCTCCTGCGCGCAAGATAGTCGATCCTAGCTAAAATGACGAATTGGAATACGGTGCATAATTAGATTACGGTAAATTAAAATATCGATAAAAATCAGAATCTTTTGCATCCGGAAATGCATTATACATTTTCAGGATAACAGATGAAATCAATGATTGTACAGATTATCAGGATAATTGAATGTGATTAATTATCAGATTAGTTACACATTTTTTTAGTCACATGATAACTTCACCTGTATATCACCGTTGCAAACTTCAAGGGAGTGTCTTTTACTGGCGACTCAAAGTAATCGAGGCAACTCAAAATATTTTCCTACGGTTTTTCCTTCTTGTTTTTTTTTGGCCTCGGGCTCTGAGGATTTTTGTTTGGGTCTAGATTTCTCAGCATCCTTAATCATGATTTTATGAGATCGTCTGGCAGTGATTCTCCGGCGACTCGTTTACTTGACTCGCCTTGTGAATCGTTTCTCAAACCGGAGTACCTGACGTATAAACTGCCAATGCATGATGGTCCATTCCCCGCAGTATCCTGAAGTTTGTCGACCAAATGAACTGTACACTGTAACACAGAAGGGTCGTTGATGATGACAATCCTTTTTTGACACTCCCAGCATGTTTGAAAAAGA